GCCAGCAAACTCTGCGAGCGGGCCAGCTGAGGTTTGGCTGCTGGTTCTCTCTAGATCTGGTTTGGTTTAATTGTCGATTCTAGATCTGTCTTCTCCCATGGCCGGCCTTGGAGCCAGGAGCTGCCACAAGATAGTCACCTCAAAAACAAGGCGAGTCTCACGTGTGAGTTCGATGTGGGTGCCAAAGAATTCTAGAGGCTTCTCTGCTCCTCTTCACTTTAAAGATCTTTAAAGGCATGCAAGAACGTTCCCCCATGTGTCTTCAAAAATCTCCGAACTTGGCCTGCGGCTGATGTGGAGGTTCCCGATGCTAGAAAGGCTGCAGATGTTCAAGATCCACCTAGGCCATCGGCTGACATCGAGCCTGGTCACCACATATATATATATACATACTTGAGTTATATATATAATTTTAGAGTTCTAAAATGTGAGTCTTGGTCCAGTCTGCCCTGTTGAGGACAGAAAGCCATTGGTGGTGCCGAGTGGTTGAACACTACTTTAGAATCGTTGCCGGCCCTGAATGATATCTATTTCACTGGTGATCTTCTCAAAGAACAATCAGCACAGTGACTCCTTCGCAAACACTATTAAATATATGTAGTTCAGATCATCTTCCACTTTCCGCTTTCATGAGGGAACCTGGGGTTGGGTCCTCATGCCGGCTCAGTGCGCCCATCGAAGGCGAGATCGAGCCAGGAGTGCTGCCAAAGCTGATCGTGCTGCTAGGGGCAAGGGCCGTGGGAAGGGGAAAGGCAAAAAACGTAACAAGGTGGCAAATGGGGAAGACAATAGTGTGGAACCAGGTCCGGCAGAGACAGGAAAGGAGCAGGGCAAAGGGCGAAAAGCCCAGGCGAAGGCGAAGGCGAAGGGAAAGGGTCGGGGAAAGGGTCGTCAGGGAAAGGGGCAAGGAAAGCCTTGTGAGGGAAAGGGTGATCAGGAAGACGCAGCAGGTTCCAAGGAGGAAATAAAAGGTCAGACCAGGAAGAGGAGGAACGCTCAGGGATTGGAGGAGGACCAACCAGTCACGAAGGCCAACAAGAGAAAGGCTAGCGCTCATACTGTTGGCGCGGGCCCAAGATTGGAACAAAACAAAATTCTGAATAGCGATTCAAGAGTTGCTGGTAAAAGTTTAGTTATATACATAATTATCTTGCAACCCAGGTGAGGAAGAGCGGGGTTCTGTGACAGAGCTCCTGCCTGATTTGGACGACTTCAAGGCACAAACAGCGTTGTGACAAATCTACTCGACGATGAGACTTAGCGTCGATGTCGTTGAGTTAAGTCAAGAGGGTTTGCTCGGAGGTTGTCCCATACTGGTCCCGTGGAGATTGCAGTGTGGAGATGAAGGCAACCAAACAATCGAAGAAGAAGGAAGTCGCTTTCATATCTCTGAACCAGTGCCCACCTGGTGTGAAGTTCTCTGAAATTGCAAACGTTTGCATCAAACTGGCCCTTTGCCTGATTTTTGTATGAGCACTGCAGCTGTGCATTTGTTCTTTCTAGAATTGATTTGCAAGACGAACGGTATAGCCGGAATATTGCCAGATCCCCACAACACAGCTGAGGCCAACGATCTGCAGTCTGGTCGTCCCATCCACGTGGCTATGCGCGAGTTCTACGAGGGGCGTGATGTACTGAGGGCCAGGAATTCCTGATGCAATGCGCAGCCTGAATTCTTCCAGTTTTGTGTGGGGCATATGGATAAACCTGAAGGTGTGAGCAGGCGCCATGCAACCGGTGAGTTGTCAGTACCAGCATAGATCTGTAGCATGCAGTATGCGGGGTGTGCTCTGTACCTGGCCACATGAACGGTCTTATGACGACTTTTAGACCATCAGCAGTCTTAAACAGATTTAGACATTTTTGCTATGTAGTGCAGTGCCTCGGGTGAAAGAGCTTGGGTGCATCATGAGTGTGCACGGAGCGCTGGTGTTCAACATCGGTTGGCCGCCGTCCGCTGTGTGAAATTTGCTGGTGTGTGTATGTGTGTGTGTCTCAGTTCGTGGCATATGCACGTATCCATGAATGCTTGGAGCTCGCGCAGCTATATACCAATGATTCCACTGTGCGCACTACCAATCTCAAACCCAGCTTCTGATCGGTAGCTGTAGGGTTTTGCAATCGTGCTCCCATACAGCGCGTTATAATGCCATCATCCATGTGGTTGGGTGATGTGGAAGTGGCGCTGCTCTTGCGCTTACAAGTGCCGTGTGTGCTGTTCCTTGGCAATCAAGCTTAAGTACAGGCCCCCAGGAGCATAGAATATTGTTTTAATTCCAAATATCAAAAGGTGAAGAAGGCAGGCGGGGATTGATTCAATGTTGCCTTGCGTTTTTTTCTTGATACTAGCTTTCCATGAAGCAGTACAGGATGGGTTAACCCCTAGCTTGCCAGTTGAGGGTGCACTGTTTGGACTACGTTGCAGCTACTTCTGGGGCCTTCACACGCGTATCTTGCCATCAGTTCATTGCTGCGCACTTGAAATTGAAACGTGTGCGCTTGTACATGCTACTTCAAACATGCATGGATTTGTGGGGCCAGATTTGGATTTTGCCCGCCGGTGCAAAGTAGAAGTGCTCAGGACCTATGGGCACTTGATCTATTCGCAGGTGTTGGTGGCATCCATCGCAGCTTCAGCGCCTCAAATCATGAAACTAGTGTCAACCTGCTGGCTATAGACTGATCTGCTGCAGGTATAAACCTTCTAATACATGGTCTTGAGATGACAAGCTATCAAGACTTATCAAGTTTGAGAATGACATAAAGGCTCCCCAATCTGATGGGCAAGTGGAAAGGGTCCAGTGCACCCAGGTAAATTGAACCTTCGTGCTGCCCGCTATGACCTGAACATGGGTGAGGAGTACAACTTTGATACCACGTGCCTTGTCGTATAAAGCTTGCCCTTTAAAGTTGCTCTTGTCAGTGGCCCCTGCACCACAAATCACGTTTCCATGTACACGTGTATAGCATATACTGAAAGATAGAACTGCTGCAGTGTGATTTGCTTCAAGTTGATTCTATCTAGATTGGCCACTTGCAGGCTGGGTTTCCTGCTGGCGCTCCGATACTTATTGCGATGCCGCTGCGGGGCGCTTATGTTTGCAGGGCTCCCCTGCAGCGCCCACATTTGGTTGGCTTCAGGTGGTTCCAAGAAAAATCGTGAGAACCCTCAAGGCAATACAAGTTTGGAGTTTGTCAGGAGAGGAAACAAACAGGCCGCCAGATTTAGCATGATGGGGCTTGTCGCACTGGTGCGACAAGTTTGGTGGGCCTGTGAGCAGCCTAGTGGGTCACTTGCCCCATACCTCCACTACGTGCAGCACCTCCTACATCCATGTCTCCGTGCTCTTGGTTTCCAACCTGGTTCGTTCCAGCGGATGTCAGCTGACTTGTAAATTATGACTTTTGATATGCATGTTGAGGTCTCAAAACATGCCCGGGTGCTGGATGTGCGTGACTTCTAGATTTATCTCATGAGGTGGATGGGACTTTTTGGCCATCGCTCAATGAAGCGGACCATGCTATTTGGTAATGCGAAACTAGGCAAATTTAGATTTAACTTTGACACCCTCGCTCCACAAACCAGCTTCTTTGCATGCCAACTGAATCAGATCAAATTTCTTGACGGGACCTTTTCTGAGGCCGTGGCTCCATATGTTCAGCCTTCAGTCCAAGATCCGCCAGTCTGACCGCGATCAGCAGAAGTGGTCCAGTGAGGGGAACACTAAAGTGAAGCAGGTTGGCAGCAAAACATCTGTTTCTGGAGGCCCCAAGCTCAAAGAAACACAGACCTATCCAACAGAGTTCTGTAGCAACATCGCAAGCTACCACAAGACATGGTGTATTGATACTCAGCTCAATCCTTAAGCACCAGCATAAACGCATTTGTTGGTGGTGACCTTTTTATCTTAAACGCAGTTCCCACCATGTGATTGATGAGAGGTTGCTAATCATATAAATATATACGCACTATGCCAGCTCAGGAGACTGGATCGCTT